AAAGCAGCAGGGTTTTTATTATGCCACAGTCGAGTGCTTTCGCTCCTTCTGGTCGTGCGTATGTGGGGTAAAGCAGCGCTGTTTTATCATACTAGATACGTTTGAACATTCTGTTATAATGCTACTCGTCACCGGTCTATTAAAACACACAACATATTAAAGCGTCTTTGGTGTTTCCATGTTTTCTACAAAACAAATCGAGGGGTTATGATGTCATTGGCAGGCGACAAAATGACACTATGGACACGGTCCGTGTCACTAGTTAAAATTGCTTATTTCTCTGGATTTAAACATTCTTCGAAACATTTGGGATAATGTAAGTACACACGTCAGCAAAATATATAACACTGTTCTAGTGGTTTTTGGATATTTTAATTAAAAAATCTTATATATTGTGCCTTTTAAGTGCATCATCCTGGTATTTAAAGTGCACTTTTTCTCTTTGGAATTTTCAGTGTGAACGCACTACTCACACGATTTATACTACAAAACGTCATAGAATAGTGCATAAGTATGCGATTTGGGACGCACCTATGGACATAGTGTCCGTGACGTCACCCGTAGGTTTCCGAAGAGCGTTTTTGAAGCCTAAAGTAGGCGTAGCCGTCCATCGCCATCTTGGCAGCGTGTCACTCCCGGATAATTGAAAATGGGCAAAGAGGCGGGAGCTGGTTGCTGAAACCACACCCACCTAGCTCGACGCCGGTGACCGCAGCAGCAATCCACCTGTCACTCAAGTGGTCACGCCTTTAATTATGCAGAATTTTAAGGCTTAATATAATTTAAACGGATGAGTTATAAAAAAATTCACCCCCCTCACAGTTGTCATGAAGGGCAAAATTAGCTATATAGACCAAAACCACTTTTTGTACCAGGCTGTAAACATTTTTTTCTGCTGTAAAGTTGGGCATTTTAACATGGGGAGTCTATGGAACTGACTCCCTTTTGGAGCCAACCTCTAGCGGCCAGTCGATGATTTGCAGTTTTAGTCACTTCCGTGTTGGTTTCACAAGAGAGAGCGGGAGGTTGCCGCTTGGTTCCAATGTGCAGTGAGTCAAGGAACTTACCAGTGACCGAATTCGTGCACACGATCTACTGATTCACGAGTTCGGGAGTTGATTGAGACGCACCCAAAGCTTTAATGTGAATTATACAGAGACGAGATGAAAAGAAAATACCATCTAAACTTTTCTGAAGACAGTCAGTTCCCCTCAGAAACACATTCATATAAACCCACAAATCAATATTTAGGATTTTCGTCCAATAGTTTGTTCATCTTGAACAGTGAGTGATCTGCCTGCTACAGTATTTTTTTCTCTTTGCGTCCGTCTTCAGCATCTCAGGCCTCTGTTAGCAGGCGTTTACACACTTTATATTTTCACATAAATGACATTTTGGAAAATGATTGCATTGCAACGCAGTTTGTGCAAGTCCAGAACAGAAACAAGCTGCAATAAGACAAAAAAACGTCCGGTTGCAGAATCGCGTAAGTTCCGGGGGAAGCTCTTTCGGCCGGCATACACACACGTGACTGACTGCTTGCACCAGCGGGAGGGGTGGTACATGAAAAATAGCGCATACCGCAAGAACGGTATAACGGAAAATGTTAGTGGTTTTGAAACCGTGAAATTTTCAAATCGTGGTATACCTTGAAACCGGTAATCGGCCCATGCTTAGTTCAGACTGCTTGAATCTTATCACACCAATTGGAGTGAAGAAAGGAAGCTGCTAAAGAACTAAGATCATGCTTCAACCTACCAGGCTAAGATCACTAAGCTGAAAGAAGCTGGTGCCAAGTAAGGTGGAGAGCTCCACAGAGTCGTGGTATATTCCCCACCATATGGTAGAGCATAATTGCAAAAACAGGTTCTTCCAGGACTCACATTAGGTCCATCACTGATGGCAGTGTTACTCTGTTTCCGTGAGCACTCCACAGCCATAAGCAACAATATCCAAGGTATGTTTTATATAGCCGAGGTGAGGCTATTCCATGATAACATGCCCTTACTCCGATTCCAGTGGAGGGTTTTAAAGCCAGAGCAACATCCTGATGTGTATCAATGGAAGGTATTTCACTTTGGCATGACGTGCATTCCCTGTTGTGCCACATACACCCTGCAAAGGCATGTCACGGATCACAGCCAGCCTGGTACAAGGTCAGGGAGGTCATTTGAAAATGCATTCAATGTTGACAATTGTCTACACCAGGGATCTCAAACTCCACTCCTTGAGAGCTACCAGCCTGCAGTTCCAACATTGCTCCGACACACCTCCCTGTAATTATCAAGTAACCCTGAGCAACCCTGGGGCTGGGGCTGGAGCTGAAATATGCAGGAAGGTAGCTCTCCTGGAGCAGGGCTGGAGACCCCTGGTCTACACAGCCTTACCTCCAAGGAAGAGGCCAAAGACTTGGTTGATCAGCTCTGTTCACTCCTAGCCTTTGGCAGCTTTGAACTGCGGCAATGTGCCCATCAATTGTTAATCAGCAATTACTCACCTCCACCTGTCAGTCTGACCCTCCGTGCTACACTCATTGAGGTAAACACTGTTCCACCATGATAATGTGCAACATTTACAGTGTACTGGCAAGCCAATTTGACAATGTGATATCATCCCTTATACTACTAGAGCAAAGATACCGGTGCAGCGCCTGTGGGATAAGAGACATGACTGGGGTGACTCACAGTTACTAGAGGACCTACTCACCTTGTGGTCTGCATAGGAGAAAGAGTTGAGTGGACTAGAGGAGATATGTCTGCCCATGTGTTACTCTAGCTTGCAAATGGATCTCCCATCCTTTAGACATGAGAGCCACATCTTCTGTGATGTACCAGAACAGGTATACGTTTCAATGGCCTACCTGCTGACAGAGAACAAAGAAGGTCCAGTGGAAGTTGCGTCTCTCCAAGGCTTGTCAAGTCAAGGCACCGTTATTTATATAGCGTTTCATACAATATAGATTGTGTCAAAGCAGCTTTACAGTATTATACAGGAAAATAATGTCAATAATGCAAACAAAATTAAATTCTGCTGTAAAGCAGCTCTAAAAAGAAGACAATAGTAAACAGTCAATATTTTAGTTAAAGTCGGTTCATCGTTGATTCAGTCATAATCCAGCTCAGTTTTCTTTCAGTAGTGTCTGTAAGTGTCCCCAACTAAGCAAGCCAAAGGTGACAGTGGCAAGGAACCAAAACTCCATCGGTGACAGAAATTGAGAAAAAACCTTGGGAGAAACCAGGCTCAGTCAGGGGGCCAGCTCTCCTCTGGCCAGACGAAACCAGCATGATTTGGTTTAATTCCAGGCTGCAACACAAATCAGATTGTGGACCGGCATCACTCAGAACATCCATCCAGATCATCCATCCAGGACCTCAAAGTAGGGAGCTGTGGTAGTCAGGGACCACCATACCTCAAGCTGCCACCAGATATCTGGCCTGAGCAACCCCCATGATCTCTTGAAGATCAAAGCAGTGAGTTAAACCAGTCTGTTTTCTGTGGGTCAGTAACTGTAACCATGTAATCAAGTTTTCCTTCAAATCCAAGTCTTCTGAGGTAAGGCAAACCAGTATCAGGCATAAGCAGACTGGCTTCACTCTCTCCCAAACTTGACGCTGCTATAGGACTGATTAAAGTAGGAAGCTGCTTGCATCATTGTAATTGCTGGAAGTGGATGCTGTACATTCAATTGTCCTTGACCCTTTAGAGTCCTGTCACCAGACTAATCATCAGGGATTATGATGAGAGACTGCACCACCCTGGCTCAGAGTGATTGTTTGCCAAAATAAGAAGGACATACTGTATATCAAAAAACTGTGAAGCTGTCTACTGATACCAATGCTAGTGTGTGGAGTGCAGAAAATGGAGGGGCCACCCAGAAGTTCCCTTAATGGCTGACTTATCACTTACCAGACAGAGGTACTTCAGACCAGCCTTCTACTCAATGGACATGGACTGTTTCAGCCACCTTTCAAATTAAGATTGGTTAGCATAATGAGAAGAGATAAAGCATAATATTCAAGTGCATGACCATCAGGGCAGCCTATCTTGACAGTCTTACTAGGATTCACTCATACTGATTCCTGATGGTCCTACAATGGTTCAATGCCTATAGAGGGAAACTGTTATGAGTTGCTGTGTGACCAGGGCACTAACTTCAAAGTACTACAAAGTCACCTCACCAGCCAGCAGATCAAGTTTGTCTACAACCCACCTCACTTCGGTAGTTATTGGGAGAGGGAGATCCACTCGATCAAAGCCCAGACTGTCACAGAGGAGGTACTGAGGTACTGTCTTGATTGAAGTTGAAGGTATCCTCAACTCAAAGCTCCTTGGGTATACCTCCTCGAGTATAGCTGACCTCAATCTGATTACTTGGAGACTGGGTAGGTAATACCCAAGCTTGCCAGAAGTGGAAGACAGAAATCCATTCAGCTCCCAGCCTTACCTGAGGATAATTGATGTCAGGATGCAGACCTTTTGTTAGATGAGAGAATACAGTCCCTAAATTCTGGGACGGCTGCACAAACGGCCCTGATGTTCTTAAATGTCCTGGATGAATCTGACCGATGAGAGTGCACAGTGTTACCGCAGCATCCCGTGCTGAGGCAGAAAACAGATTGAAAATAAAAAGCATATGCAGTGTGCATGTGAGAGTGGACCAGCTTCACTCTAACTAGTCCAATGATGCTTGATTGCCATTAAGTTCGATTTATGTTCGGTTACTGTGTGCGTGCATGTGAATTAAGTGAATACTGATGATATATATTTTCTCTTGTAACTGAGAAATCTGCAGGTTTTTTTTGTGTTATAACAGTAGCCAATTAATGTCACGCCACCTGTATTACCATTCCTATTTAGCATAATTCTAGGTATTTCTATGATGTTCTTCAATGTGAGATGTTTATGTATTGTATACTGTGTTATTATTGTATGTGTAACCCCTCTCTCCCCTGGGTCCTCACCGCCACACCTCGTTCTTGTTCCGAGTGGGTCTCCAGCATGGGAGGCGGACGCACTAACAAGGAGGCTAAAGACTGCAGCCACTAGCGCGTCTCTTGAGATCAGGGGAGTGAGGTTTACCTGTACAGCACCTACCGCTGGCCTCCGTTACACTCACCCCCCTAAACCTCACTCCCATCCGGGTCACGGCACCAATGTAACCCCTCTCTCCCTGGTCCTCACCGCCACACCTCGTTCTCGTTCCGAGTGGGTCTCCAGCATGGGAGGCGGACGCACTAACAAGGAGGCTAAAGACTGCAGCCACTAACGCGTCTCTTGAGATCAGGGGAGTGAGGTTTTACCTGCACAGCACCTACCACCTAGTGTGGTGATCAGCCATTTTTCACATTTGTTATAGCTGCTAAAGCACAGGTAAGGTAAGCGGCGTTCACATGTTAGTAGTGCCCTCTTGTGGAGATGTAAAGAATAATCACCCAACATTGTTTAGTAGTACTTTATTAATGTCCTCTTTCCCCCCCTAGTTTTTATTACTTGCTGAAGGTAATTACTGAAAAGTAGTTTGACCAACAGCATGCAGGCACTGTACATAATCAACCAATCATGGCATGTGAGAAGGATCTACAGAGAGCGGTCAGAGCAATGCAAATATGCATACATATAATGTATGAAGACTGTCAATAGGAAAACAAAGCCAAAATCCGGGAAATCCAGCCAGGACTTATTCAGGAATAAGAGGACTTATGGTCACCCCACTTTTTTATGCTTTTTTAACGTTACCAAGTAATTACTTTTTCAAAAGCATTACCTACCCTGCTGAAAAAAACAATAGAAACCATCACAGTTTCCATTAAAACCAATACAATTCCCATTATAACCAGTAAAACCATTACAAATTCTGTGATGGTTTCTATTGTTTTTTATTTGATGTTTTTCAGCAGGGTACTCAGACCGTATGTGATTTCTAATGCAGCATCTATCACTTGTTGTTCACTTGCCATTTGCATTTTGCCTTTTGGACTGAATATACTGAATATGTATCCCAACAGTTTGGAATGTTAATTAGCAGCACGTCTAAATACCAAGTGCGCGACTGGAATGTGTCCCATGAGCCAGGTGTGAATTCAGCGATGTGTGTCAGATAGTGGTAGTGACTTTGATTTTTGTATTATTCAAGAGCATCTCTAACATCAAAGAGATAAGATTAGTCCTAATTTGTCTCTGGTGGATAATTAAGACTCCCACGGTTGCTGTGATTGACAGATAAATGGTCTCATGTGTTGGTCATTTTTCAGTCTTTGCTGAAGGCAGTCGAGCTCAGGCATGTAAAATGCATAGCTTAAATGTACTGTAAGCTGCTTGTGTAAAGGCGTCTGCTTAATGCATATATGCAAGTACATTCTGATTAGTGCGGAAGTCGGTGAGCTTTGAAGGAGGCGCCGGAATTACGGTGATTTGCGTCACCAAAAGCCCGTCTGCCCCCAGCGCGAGCGCAGCGATGTGAGACTCAGCTCTACTCGACTCTGACTCGCGGGCTGCTTCTGGGTCTCGTGAGCGGCTCTGCTGGATAATGCACATCTAAAGCGTGGTTGATGTTTGTGTCAGACGGCCATGTACAGCTCGTCGTTGATCGCGCGAGGAGTTTTGCTGTGTGTGGTGTTTGAATGCTCGCTCTCTGTGCGGGACAGTCTCCGAGTCAGACAGGTGAGACGGATGTTCTCCTGTAACGCATAGTGAATGTTTGTAGATACGCTCAGACTTTTCCATGCTTTAAGTATAATTTGTTCGTGTTATATGCGAGTGTTGATGATTAATGGTACAGCTCGCGCACACAGCCTACACATGGAAGACAATAATTAACACTGCGACACACCAACTGTTGTTCCATATGAAACTCTTCATTTACTTAAACTTCTGAACTCCGTTTAAATTCGTTTTTTCACAAATTAATTTTTTTATTTAAATCATTGAACTGGAGCAGATAGTGATGGCAAAGCGTACAGTACATGGGGGGAAAAGCATCCCATGAAGTGAGCAGAGCTAGAAAGAAGCTGAAATATACAAATATGAGAGAATTTTGATTTCTCTAACATATGTTATACTTGTTCATAATTCCTGAATACTTCCATTTGCGTCTTATGATGATTTTACTGTTATTCTAAACTGTTAGCAATAGTGATCATACTATTGCTCAGAAACGCTTACACATCGCTGACTCAAATGTCCTATATAGCTATACTTTATACTGGCTCTAATACTACTACAGTCAGTCCTGGGAAAGCTGCCTGAATGTGTTAATCAACTCTAAACCCATGCACTTTACTAAAGACGTGTCTCAGAGAGGTGTACTGAGCAGAGACAGCACTTCTATCAGCAGAGCTCGGAGTCACTCAGATCAAGACAGGGTAACTCTCAGAGGAAGGGTTTGGGCTCCTTCAAAGTCCCCCTCACTTTTGAGGGGATCTGTGTCAATGTAACCTATGCTAGGAGTTATGTGCCAAAAGGTTTAAAACGTAAATGTCACATCAAATAAAAACAAGCATTTGTCCATAATTTGAAAGCATAAATCTAGCGTATCACTAAATTATAAATGACAAACGAAAGCATCTGCTGATGATTAGCTGCTCTTGGGTCTGTTGTTGCAGCCCAAGCCCGGTGGCACTAACAGCGTCTGAGTGAGGGTTTTATCATGCCAAAGAAGCTCTCGTCTGAAGACGGTTTGAGTACTTTATTGAATGCTCTGTTGATGGCCTGCCCCTCAGACAGCAGTGTGACTGAGTGTGTTTATTTGAGCACTGCATGACTCTATTCAGTCAGTTGTTGTTGCTTCTCTCAGTGCTCTTATAGAGCTGACTTCTGACAGCATGTATAACCACAGTGCCATTTCATCTCTTTCTAAACAGCAGCACAGTTAAACTGCATTCCTGTGGAGGAATAATTCTGTGTCCTTAGGCAAAACTCTTGATGTTTGGGTACTTCATGCGTTTTTTACTGAATATGAAAAGACCAAGTTCAAATACCTTCCTACCGATAGCAGACTGATCTCCAACACTGATTGGCATATTGTCTGAAGGGAGCCTTCACTGCCCAGCATTAGCATCCTCACAGAAATGAACCGTGTTTGCATACGCTGTAGAAATAGCAGGTCAGATTTGTGGCCGAGTGTGATGATCCCTCTGTTTCTTGTGGGCTTTATCAGGTTCTGGCAGTCTCGCAAAACACTTCAGCTCTTTGTTTCTGTTTTTATGAAAACTGGCAATCATAAAGCTTAAAAAGAGGGAAATAGTAAACAGTTTAAATCATTCTGTAGAAATGTAGTCAAATTACTTTTACAAAGTAGTAGAAAGATGTCACTTAATGCGTTTTATCATATTTTAGTATGCATTTATAAAAGCAATAGAGTGTTAAATGTTCAGCTAGAGTCTCTTTACTAGAGCTCTCTCTCATCACAAGATATCCATATAAAACCAGTCAACATAAAACAAAAAGAAGTCAAAGGAGTATTAGGAAATAAAAGAGATATAGAAATAACAAATGACATAACACAGATGTTTGTTCTCTGGATGTCACACTCTCACACACTCACTCACTCTCTCTCTCACTCACTCACTCACACACTCACTCTCTCTCTCTCTCTCTCTCTCACACACACTCACACTCTCTCACTCTCTCACACACTCTTACACGCTCGCTCGCTCACTCACTCACTCACTCACACTCACACACACACACACACTCTCACTCACACACTCACTCACTCACACACTCTCACACACACACTCACTCACTCACACACTCTCAC